AAAATACACAAAGTTGGTCATAGGAGCACATAGGTCTATGGTTCATTGTAGGAGGAGTTATCCGGAAACACTATGCACCTCTTATGCAAGTATATACTCCAAAACTGACAAAATTCAACTATCTCCCAAAAGAGCAAATATTAATAAAAATCATAACCCTGACCACATGCACACCTTCAATATATGTACAAACAGCCAGCAAAGTGAAAACTTTCTAGCATTCAAACTGTAGGAGAAGTTATCCGGAAACGCTATGCACCTCTTATGAAAGTAAATACTCCAAAAAATGACAAAGTTCAACTATCTCCCAAAAGAGCAAATATTAATACAAATCAAAACCCTGACCACATGCATACCTTCAACATATGTACAATCAGCCAGCAAAGTGAAAACTTCCTAGCTTTCAAATTGTAGGAGGAGTTATCTGGAGACGCTATGCACCTCTTATACAGACGGAAGGACAGACGGAAGGACGGACAGACAGACGGAAGGACAGGGGTAAAACAATATGCCCCCAACTTTCAGTTGCAGGGGCATAAAAATGATCACCAAGTCGAGATCTACTAACAAGTCAAATTGTGCCTATATAGTTAGTAGGCTGTCACTTTTTATGGGAGTGATTGCCCTTAAATGAGAATTTGTTTACCGTGTTTTGTGTTTTGAGCAAAAACTAAATAAAATAGAGAGAAACTAAACAGATTAAATGATCAGCAATACAAGATCAACAAAACTGAGATTTTTGTCATCAATTCTATTCTCGTCTACAATGTTGGAGAGTGTCCTTTGTTGTATATGCACAAAGACCAAGGTGGGTGACACAGGCTCTTTAGAGCCTCTTGTTTATTAAGTAAGTAGTTCACTGTAGTACATGACGAAAGATTAACAGACAGAAGACGCACATGTTATTTTTTGACAATGTTGTGCAAAATGACAGCATACTTTCATTACAATAAAACAATTGGCATATTATATAGAACATACAATGAAGTGTCCTGCTGTTACATTATGCTTGTCTTGTTTATTTTTTTTACCATGAGATTGTTTAGCATCTGATAAAATTACTTGGTAGACATTTTTGCTAGATATACTTCGAATTTGGGTCCTCAATACTCTATAACTTCGCACTCCATTGGGCTTTTTTTTACCTTTTTTTATTCGAGCGTCCAGTGGTGAATATGTTATGCATGTTAAGGACGAAGCGTCAATGAGGAATCATTTGTAGACGACATCAGTGTTTGGCGTACAATTTTTTTCATCCTGGTATCTGTATATGTTGTTGATATTACCAAAGGGATATTCAAACTCATAGATAGAAAATTAACTGACAACACCACGTCAAAAATAGAAAAAAGATCAAAAGACAAACAACATTATACAAAACAACACAAAGATAACTAAAGAATGAAAAACACGAACCCCAACAAAAACCGGGCATGGTCTCAATTTTAATTTCGGCCGTTAGTTTTCTTGTTTTCTTGTTTTACATTTTTTATGTCGGGCATTTCTTTATAACCGACTTTACTATGTGGGTTTTTCTCATTGTTCAATGTCGTACAGTAAAGTGGCCCTTAATTTCTTATTCCCATATGGGTAGTTGTCTCATTGGCAATCAAACCACATCTCCTTATATTAAAAGTCATTGATAAAACAAATTTCATCAAAATTGATGGAAAGAAGATACATTTTGTTCGTTTCAGTAAGATTGAATATTCTCGCTTATTACACAATGTTCTGTATCATTGCATAGCTTACCTTTCACGATGATATTTCTTGTTTTTATTTATTTTTAGCCTACTTTTCGGTTTAAATTGTTACCTAAATCATTCCATCTCTTATTGTTTTCATTTTATTTTTCTTCTATAAAGTTTTATACAAAAACATGCATTTATCATGGTTACACTTTGAATGTCATGCAAACAGAACAAAATACTTCATTGCAGGATTTTTTTTAAAATTCATATAGTGTCGTTCACAGATGTGTGGAAAAGTTCATATTTTATATATTTAAACAAAAATGATATAAAAATAGGAAGATGATATCATTGTCAATTGGGCAGCTATCAAACAGAGGACAATTGACTTGGAAGTTAGCAATTGCAACTATGGGACACCGTACGGCCTTCAACAAAAAACAAACCTCATATCGCATAGTAATCTATAAAAGACCCAAAATGACAAATTCAAAACACTTCAGATAAGAAAAAAATTAAGGTCTAATTCATGTACAAAACAATAAACGAAAAGTTTTGCCTGGTAACAATAAATCCATTTTTTTACGAAACAATATCTAGGAAAACATGTACACAACAAATACGCAAGGACAGGAGATTACCTTTTCAGTTTGTTTGCAACAAGCAAAAAAGGCCGAGCCTTTATCAAAGTATTTATTATAAGTATATGATACATAAGATAAAAACAAATATAACAAAGTAATTGTTTAAAGTATTGATCTGAAAAAATTAGTACTGTGTATAATGTCAAAAAGTTTAATATGAAAATGAGAAGATGTGGTGTCATTGCTAATAAGGCAACTCTCCACCAGAGACTAAATGACGTAAAAGTTAGCAACTATGGGTCACTGGACGACCTTAAACAATGAACTAGCTATAAAAGGCCCCGCAATGACAAATGTAAAACAATGCGAACGAAAGATTTTGTTAATTTTACAAGATATGATGAACAACGTTTGAATGTAGGTAGTGAGAGTTTCTTTTTGAATTCACGTCTGATTCTCGCTGTTTGTCATTGTTTTACAGTTATTCTTAAGCAGTTTTATTGCTGATGGATTAAAGCACCAACAATTCTTATTTTGATGAGGGAGGAGGTAGTCATTATTTTCTTTTAACGGACAAACATTTGTTTTTCAATTTCGCTAAAATATGGACAAAACATTATATTACGATTATATAACGTGTATGTGTATCAAACATTAATTAAAGCGGAATATTTAAATAATAAATGGCTTTTAGCAGCCAGTTTGGTTCAATTTAGTAAATCGTGTCTCAGAAACGTTCCTGACGTATTATTACATTTCGACCTCATTTCGATCGTCTGCAAGCAATCTTTATATTTGACAATTAGTTGGAAACGGGTTGAGCATGTGCTCATCATGGTGAGTTAATAAAAATAAAAAGCATGTCAAAATTGAAAACAAAATGAAATATTGAAGGCATCTATCTAATATATGGTATGAAATCAAACGGACATAGAAATCGGCATTATACTATTGTACGTGCTTGTCTTTCAATCTAAATTAATGTGTATGTTTATTTCGGGTCAAATGACCATCGGCCATCTTGGCAGTCTGAGGAAGCCTTCTCGGTGACCTATTGTTAAATTCTGTGTCATTTGGTCTCTTGTAGGGAGTTGTCTCATTGGCAGTCATACCACATCTTCTTTTTTACTTTAAATCACAACTAAAGAAAGTGATGCCCCACACTCCACTCTGAAGTAACTGTATTAAAACAAAGTCAATGTAGGACTTACTTTGAGATAGTATTATGTCTGGGAGACACAAATGATGCCCCCGCAGATGCAGAGTGTTATTTAAAAATACACAACATTGAGCATTGGAGCTACTAACAAGTCAAATTTTGCCTATATGAATGTAGTTAGTGGACTGTCACTGTGTTTTGAGCAAAAACTAAAGAAGATTGAGAGAAAATAAAAAGATTAAATGATCAGCAATACAAGATCAACAAAACAGATATTTTTGTCGTGACTTATATTCTCGTCTACAATGTTAATGAGTGTCCTTTGTTGTATATGCACATAATCCAAGGTGAGCGACACAGGCTTTCTAGTTTAGTAAGTAAGTAGTTCCCTGTGTAGCACATGACAAACATATTAACAGACAGCAGTTCAGTCATGTTATTTATTGACGAGAATGTGCAAAATGACAGTATACCTTCATTGCAATAAATAATATTGCAGCTAATTAATTGGGCCTTAGGGAAAACATCTCAAAACTTATATGACAGCATCTTGAAGTTCTAATTATAACATCATTGTGATACATGTAGTTTTATTAATCAGATTTAGATATAACTTATATTCTCCTTTTGAAAACTGTTTTGTAAGAAAATCCATTATAGGACAAAGATTATCAAAAAACATTTTGATAAGCAGAAGATTAAGATATCATTTGAGTTACTTGATTTTGGCTCTGCAATTAAGGTAAAAAAAGTCATTAGTGTATACAAAAAATAAGAAGATGTGGTATGAGTGTCAATGAGACAACTCTCCATCAAAGTCACAATGTGTAAAAAGTAAACAATTATAGGTCAAAGTACGGTCTTCAACACAGAGCATTGGCTCACACCGAACAGCAAGCTATAAAGGGCCCCAAATTGACTTAAGTGTAAAACAATTCGAACAGAAAAACAGACAGTCCAATCTATATAAAAAACAAATGCATTATCTTTAGAGTCAGACATTTTGTGTTGCAAAAGGAGACGGAAGACCACAAGTATTCCAATAGTTCTCTTAGAAACTATATGGCCCCTTTGTAACACATAAGTTTGGATATAATGCATGTCTGCAGTCCGGACGTGAATTTATTTCAAAAACTATCTCACAATCAGGGTTTTTGATCGGACTGAAGAGGTCGGGATTTCTTTATTTCTGTACTCAAGTCAACATTAGGTGCATATACAGTATGCGAAGGTTGTTCAATTTTGTTTAAATTTCATTTTACCTAAAATGCATGGTGAAGAACTTATATTCAAAAACTGTTTAGAATTCATATTTGAAAAGCGCTAAATATTTCTCATGTTACATCAAGATCTCATTTTCTATCTCAATCTGATAATTTTCTAATATAAAATGATAAATCCATTTAAGAATATTTAAATAAGATGTGGTATAATTGCCAATTAGAAAACATATATACACCAAGATAAGACCAAAGGGCAACAGAACTGAATAGATTGTATTATATGCAAAGTTAATGTAATAAATTATAGAAATTAATATTGTACATACATATAATATATTTTTTGTTTAATTAATTATACACATATCTCTAATGAGTTATAAAAGGACATGTATTTTCAGGTAACATTTGCACGAGGACGTTACGAAGACTTATAGCGTGAACAGCAAATCTTACACAATGGGAAAGTTGGCTGTGATAGGGATTCTGACTGTATTTATAGTTTACATTGTTGCAGGTATGTACATGTATACAGATAGTATTGTAGTATTAGATATATGTTTCTCTAATTCTTACACAATTTATCCTTTTCCTGACCTGTTGATTATTTTTTATTTAATCAACGTGTGGTTCGTTTGATCTCAGTTCTTCATTGGTGAAAATTCGATTATGACGTAAAATTTCTTGCTTTCCTTTGAATTTCTTATTGTGACGTCATGAAAAAAGGCGACTATGCCTGATGATTTCACATAGAAAGGACACATCCTTTTTAAATATCATTCAAAAGGAAAGATTGAATGTGTCTGCATATCGTATAAAATCATTAGAGAAACAGATTCCACCACCAAATCTTGTTCAATACGATATTTATCAACCTTCGACAGTTTAATTTTAAATATTTAAAATTTAACTGTCTCGAGTGGTTAAAAATTGTATCACACTCGATACAGTGGTATAATCTCTCTCTCTCTCTCTCTCTCTCTCTCTCTCTCTCTCTCTCTCTCTCTCTCTATATATATATATATATAATTCGTCTAAACAACAGCCCAACAATGTTAGATCTGTAAATTTGCGGAAGCAAATTTTTTGTTCTTCCCTGGCCGGGATTCGAACTCATGCACGAATTGTATATACAGAATGTATTTTCAGCCTTGTATCACCATCACTGCTGGTGATCCGATGGATAAAATCTGTTGTAGAGTCGTCACTGGTTCAGACGTACTTATATATATATATATATATATTTATTTAAGAACATCCGATGTTCGACCTGCTAGTCAAATGCGTTTTGTTAAAATATACTTTTTCACTTTTTTGGTCTTTTGGAAAATATTGTTTGTGCTGTATGTAGACCCCTCTACCAAGAAGTTTGTTTTGCATGCACACGTATAAAAATTGCGGTTTTTATCCAACGCAATCATAGGTTTGAACGTTGTTTTCAATTTAGACTTGTTTATATTTTTTCGTTTGGGCTTCTATTATATTTGCCTTTGGGTTTATATGATCCGTTCATCCTATTTCGACTCTTCAAAATTCAAGAGTCTATCCTAAATTGAGGTAAATTATATGGCCTTCCTAATACCGTTTCGATTCCTAACATCACTGAAGAGACATTTATTGTCGAAATCCGGATATGGTGTGCTAACTTTTGCACCTTTTGTTTGCGGTATATCATCTTTTACGCAAGTTTAATGTTTTCTGTTTGGTATTAAATTATTAGTTAAGATTCATTTTGGTTACATATGGTGATCCGTTTATTTGGCAATCGCCAATGGCAGTCAGCAGGGTTTAAGAACATCCGTTGTTCGAACTGCTAGTCAAATGCGTTTTGTTAAAATATACTATTTCACTTTTTTGGTCTTTTGAAAAATGTTGTTTGTGCTGTATTTAGACCCCTCAAACACGAAATTTGTTTTGCATGCACACGTATAAAAATTGCGGTTTTTATCCAACGCAATCATAGGTTTGAACGTTGTTTTCAATTTAGACTTATATATATATATATATATTTCACAATATATAAAAACGTTTAATGTGAATATAAAAAATGTGGAGACGCGATAACAGAATTTTGGGAATTTTAAAATGAGAGTTAAATCGGTGAGAATCCGATAACCAGTAAAACAGTTTTAATAATTCTTTTGGTTCAAATATACCAAGCTATTCAAAAGTATTGATGCAATAATAATAATTTATTTTATTAAATTGTCACACATTTGTCTAAAAAAATATCAACAAATTATTAAAATATGATAAACATCGCACAGAAATAGAATAAAATGAAAACTACTAAAGTAAATCAAAGTTGACTTATGAGACACAATACATGCCTACGGGCCGATGTCATAAACCGGCTGATTGTTGTCTTTGGGATTCCTTGTCGACGTTTCGACATTTCTTTCGAACGCTTATACAGTTGGGTAGATGTTGTCAGTTAACAACTATTTATATTTAAAACAAATCATTTTTATTTATCAACAAATTGCGACCGTTTTCTTATTTGTCCTTTAACATTATTTAATATCAATCTGTTGGATAATTGTATATTTAAAGTTCCTGGTTTTATAGCTACATAAACCTCTCACTTGTATGATAGTCGCATAGGAGTCATCAACTATAGCCCTTTCCAGGAAATCATGTAGAGTCAACTATTAGAGGTTTTAAACCCCCGTTGATTTAAAGATAATATTTAGTTTAAATAAATATATAAAAAAAAATAATGGTATTTTATCTTCCAATATACTCGTTAACAAATTCGATTAAAAAACTGGAAATGTTTGTAAACTAGATTAATACATGATTTTCGATTTTTCTTCTCATCGTTACTCTACACTGCAGCGAACCAGTAATTATACTAGTATACTTCCAAACAAAGGTAAAAATACGTATTCAATCATAAATTGTAAAATAAATCAGATTCAGGCTTTCGGATGTGAGTTTCTGGAAAGTCCTTTATGTCACCGTACGGTCTTCACCATTGAGAAAAACCCATACTGCATAGCAAGCCATAAAGACCTCGAACTTTCAAATTTCAAACACGTGACGGATTACATAAATGCTTTACATTATTTTCTTGTTAGTGTCTTATATATATATATATATATATATATATATATATATATATATATATATATATATATATATAATAGACTTTTTCACTTTTTTTGGTCTTTTGGAAATTGTTGTTTGTGCTGTACTTGGACCCCTCTACCAAGAAATTTGTATTACATGCACACGTATAAAAATTGCGGTTTTTATCCAACGCAATCATATGTTTGAACGTTGTTTTCAATTTAGACTTTTTATATATATGTATATATATATATGTAAACCTCAGATCTGTGTACGGCCTCAAATCTGTGTCCGTTTCTCAAATCTGTGCCCCATCGTGACGTCAATCGCTAATCTATGTCCGTTAAAAAAGATACGGCCTCAAATCTGTGTCCTATTTTCAAATTTGTTTTCAATCGTGACGTCATTCGCAAATCTATGTTCGTTAAAAAAGATACGGCCTCAAATCTGTGTTCTTTTCTTAAATCTGTTTATGCCAGTCTAATAAGTACGGCCTTATAGGATTTTTGTTTTATTAAGTCATCTCCCATAATTCAATGTTAAGTTGGGATGTGTTCTCCATGTGTGTGCTTAAAAATTTTACATGCGTGTGTAATTATTGTATGATTTACATTTTATTGTAAAACTACAACATTTTCAAATTGTTTGCTTTTCTTGATCCCGTGTTTAATTGTTCTGTAGTAATTATGGTTATTTCTCTTTACTCATTACTTCTTGTTAACAAATACAAAAATGACATCTGTATTACCAGCAACTAAAGATACATGTACGGCCTTCAACAATGAATTGAACCTATTCTGTATCGTAATCTATAAACACAAACACCTATTTACAAACATTTTGTTCAATGTTTCAATGTATAGGTACCACATAAAAATGTTTAGGGTATTCATTGCCGTTTTAACAACGACATTTTGTGCCACTATCTTATCAAAAAAAGGTTTTTTCTGGTGAAACTATTCCGGTTTCGAATCTATGTATTTTTTTAAAATCCATTGTGTACCATGTTATCAACATTTAACAACCACAACATAATTCAGTGTACAAATTAATGGCATAACGAGCATACATGTTACTTTATTAATGTGCCTTCAAGAATGAAACTACACATATTTTTTTTTACTTGATTACGTCTTGCTATGTATTACGTCACCATATTTCGATAAAGGACATAGATTTGAGACAAAAATGGACATAGATTTCAGTTAATAAAGGACATAGATTTGAGACAATACAGGACATAGATTTGAGACAATAAAAGACATAGATTTGAGACAATAAAGGACATAAATTTGGAACGTCTATGACGCAATATTAAAAAGGACATAGATTTGCGGAAAGGCCATAGATTTGAGGCTGGACATAGATTTGAGGCTTACATATATATAAAATAAGAAGATGCGGTATGATTGCCAATAAGACAACTATCCACCAAAGTTCAAATGAAGTGGATGTTAGCATTTATAGGCAACCGTACGGCCTTCAACAATGAGAAAACCCAATACCGTATAGTCGTTAAAAATAGAACCCGACATGAATTCAATTGAAAACACGGCCTAATTTATAACAAAACAATATATGGAAAACAAAAATGACATACATGAACCACGGCAATCACTGAACGACAGGCTCCGACTTGGGACAGGCAAATATGCATGTAGTATTTGTCAATGATAATTTAACAGTCATACATTTATTAATCTATTATCTTTATCTTGAAATATAGACGAAGGTATTTATTTTACTATTTGCAAACTGAATTTCTGTTTTCTTAATCTTAATATACTTCTATGTACAGGAAGCATAAGGAACGAGGAGCCAAAAAATGAGCCAAACGATAATACAATTGATTGTTCAATTGATGATAGTAAAGAAGAATGTGAAAATGAAGATGTTGTAAAATCAGAACGACCTGAAGGTGTGGAATTTAAATAACCCAGTGATACGGGTGGGATAGTGATAGTGACGAATAACATTCAACTGTTACATTGATTTTTTTAAATAAAATAAAACATAACTTAATATGTATTCCTATGTAGTATTGAACATCTATTGTCCTTGGATACATGCTAGGAGTACATTCTATCCATACTTATATTTTTGACATTGCAAAATATAAACAGAAGACGTGGAAGGATTGCTAATGAGGCATATATCTACCAGATACCAAATGACGTTGATTTAAGCAGCTATAGGTTACCGAACTGATCTTAACAATGAGCAAAACCCAAATTGTATAGTAAGCTACATATATTACAAAAACCCGACATGACAAAACGTGAATCAATTCAAATGAGAAAATCAACAGCCTGATTCATGCAAAAAACAATAAACGAAAAACAAAATAATAGACAGCATACAACTGCAACCACAGGATTCTTTAATTGTGAAGTTTTCACGTTTAATTCTTCGAATGTATTCTTATTTATAATATTTACATCTGAGAACCGATGATTATATTCTATTAGTTTTCATTGATTTTGGACTAATTTTTATTCACTGCGGGGACTATTAGATCGGTAATTTGTGTCTTTTATTTATTTCATAAGTTGTTTCTGTACCTCATGCCGTTTGAATGACCAAAAGCCATTTTCAACTAGATTTTACTTTTTGGTCTTACGTTGTGCTATTACACCACTGTCTCTGGAAAGGGAAAGATTAGGCGCTCACAAACAAGTTTAACCTCGCCACATTCTTTTTGTGCCTGTCACAAATCAGGATCCTGTAGTTTAGTGGTTGCAGTTGTATGCTGTCTATCATTTTGCTTTTCGTTTTAAATTGATCTCATTTTGCCATGCCGGTGAGTTTATAGCTTACTGTACGGTATTGTCATAGCAATCATACCACATCTCCTTATACTTTTACTGTCATCGTTCAAATTTGAATATATTTTCCTGGTGCAAATTATTTTATTAGCTAAAAAAGCTAAACAAAATAGATGACGAGAACAAAATTGTCGATCGGTATGTCCTTTTCAATTATTGACAGTGAACTGTTTCCAATTGGAATAATACGCAAGTGTAAACATTTCAGGCGGTATTTTACGTAGAGTCGCGTTTCTGACGGACAATAAAAAACCTAGTACATGTAACGAGAAGAAATACACTTTTTGCTAAACACATCAATGTGAACCTCCAAATTTCATTGATGCCTATAACTATTCCGCCGTCGTCATCACATCGGTGGCATATTATGTACAATGTGATAAAAGACTGAATAGATATTTTCTTGCTCATGAAATGTTTTTGTAATAATAATATAATAGCAATTAGCTATGATTCAACAGTTGAACACGAGTATGGCGTCATTCAACGTCATAGCAATGTATAATATACGGTGTATATTCGGAACGCTTGCTTTCCGATCCAATCGACGGTAACGCTTGCTTTCCGATACGCGTAACGCTTGCTTTCAGATTTTTGTTGACGAAAAAGCAGGAGACACGAAATGAGGATGGATGATACTTAAATCGGATGGCAAATGGTGTTCTTTCTTGTATCTCACGGAATATTTTTCTTGATAAAAATGTAATGCTTGTCACTTTAGAAATGTTTATTCAGGTCGTAAACGGGACCACAAACGCAACACTGTAAACAATTGAAAACAAGAATGCAATTTTTTTTTAAATGAAACTGTTTAAAATATTTAAAATTAACTCGGGGTTCAAATCCTCTATTGACTTTCCTTTCATTAATACTGTTCCGTTTCTCGAAATTCATTTAATCTTACCATGAATATCCGTTGAAAAAGATCTCAGGAAACGCTGTCTTTCAGATTGTTTACCTTCATTCCGGGAAACGATTGCTTTCCGATTTTCAGGAAACGACTTCTTTCAGATGGAACTATTTGCTGGTCAATGAAACACATGCAGACTATAAAATTTGATTTTGTTTTCAATTTTTAATTTTTTAACACACTACGACACAGCGGAGCTACAAAAATGTAACAAGTCAAATTTGCGCCTGGCTTGATCGGCAACGGGATATTTCACTCCAATAAAATGCATAGTAAAGATTAAAATGTTCAAATCGGCACCCATTACATTTAGGTTATTTATTTTTAATCATACTTTGTGTATGATAATTTCTCTTGGTAGAAAAATAAAATCTACAACACAAACCAGATATTATATGAAACACAAATATAAAACAATAAAACAAAATCCCAAAAATAACCTCAAACAAAAACAAATTATAAAAACAAATCATGTGTTCCAAAAGGGTAAATAATTTCTGCTACTTCTGTGTTTAAAATACTACATTTTAATTATAACTTTTGAAAGAAAGAAAAAACACAACACAATAAACGGGGAAAATATAGAACTATGACTACATCCACAAAAAGAGTACATGAAAAATATATTAAACATAACAACACCCGCATAATATTAATGGATTAATACATCAAATAATTGTTATCTGACCAAAGCTCTGAAAAAAAATCAACCTGTAATGGTTCAATCACAGTATCACGGCCCAATGTGTGTACTTGCGTATTTTATGAAAAGATTACCTAGTATTTATAAACCATGGGATATAATCCAAAAAAATTGAAAGATTTTGGCAAATTTTGGGTATCTATACCAAAAACATATAAGAAGGTTAACAACAACCACAATCATGCTAAAAGAAAAGATAGGTATTGAAAAATTTGACATCCCTATCATATAGGATTGAAGCCCTCCCCCGCCTTAGATAACACAGATGTGTCAGTAGTCTTGAAACATTTCGTGATGAACAGATTTTCTACAATGAAACATGTTAAGAAAGTTTAGAAAATGTGGATGAGTGTTTTCAAATTTGGATATGTTTGGCTGTGAAGTCTATTTTACAAGACAACGCATTTCTGTTGTAAACGAAATCACATTCAGTTATCATTGTAAGAAACAATAAATAATGAATACCTGTATATTTGTTTTGTTTCGTCAACTTTAATTTCATTCAAGAAAATTGATACCTCATTATTTGTTGTAATATTGTAGCAACCTACCTTTCTACCCTCTCTGTAATTTTTTGTACAAAATCGGAAAGAAAGCGTTTCCGGAATCGAAAAGCAAGCGTTACCGTCGATCTAATCGGAAAGCAAGCGTTCTGAATATACACCGTGTAATATGATTTGATTTGATTTTTGGTGTTTAACGCCACTTTTAAGCACCGCTTTTGGGCTATTTCGTGGCGGCCAGTTTTTATTGGTGGAGGAAGCCGGAGTACCCGGAGAAAACCACCGACCTTCGATAGGAAAACTGACAATCCTAGTCAATTAAGATTGGAGTCGAGTGCACCCGCACGAGCGGGGTTCGAACTCACAACCTCAGTGTTGACTGGCTAGTGATTACAGTAGTAACTACTTAGACCACTCGGCCACCGAGGCCCCCACCGTGTAATATGTAATTTGATTCAATCTTATTTCATTAAGAAATAAATTCATATATTAATGTTTGCGTTTAAACTTCCTAGAGACTATGTTCATGCTTTTGGTAAGGACAAGAATAAACAGTGTTGTTGGACTGGTGAGACGATAGTATGTAATGGCAGTACATTCTTCGTCATTAGTGAGATGTCGTTTTGCATGGCGACTTTATGCAAATATATAAATAAGAAGATGTGGTATGAGTGCCAATGAGACAACTATCCATCCAAGTCACAATGTGTAAAAAGTAAACAATTATATGTCATAGTACGGCCTTCAACACGGAGCCTTGGCTCACACCGAACAGCAAGCTAAATGACTAGTGTAAAACAATTCAAACAGGAAAACCAACGGTATAATCTATATAAAAAACGAGAAACGAGAACACTTATGAACCACATCAACAAACGACAACCACTGAACATCAGGTTCCTGACTAAGGACAGGTGCAAACATGTGCATGCTTATGGTCAGGACTAGAATAAACAGTGTTGTTGGACTGGTGAGGCGATATTATGTAAAGGCAGTACATTCTTCGTCATTAGTGAGATGTCGTTTTGCATGGCGACTTTAGGCATGTTAGGCAAATATGTATGTTTGGATTTCTGTATTATGAGAATTACATGGAACCAAACACAATCATCCCAGAAATATTGAACTAAATCATGTCCTGCAGCACTAAATCAAGAAAAAAGCATGTCCTGCAGCACCAAATAAAGACTAAATCATGTCCTGCAGCACCAAATCATGACAAAATCATCCCAGAAACATTGAACTTAATCATGTCCTGCAGCACCAAATCAAGACAAAATCATGCCCTGCAGCACCAAATCCAGACAAAATCACGTATTAATACTAAATGTTCTCGATATGACGATGTCACAACCTGTGCAGATCAACTATTAACCCAAAACCCTATTAATGATATTAGTGATCAACTATTTTAAAATATTATGGCAAAATGCGGTAAATATGAAATGAACACATTATTTCCGTGTGTTATTTAAGTTTTCAAAGTCTTCTAAGGCCAGTATGTTTATAATGCTATAATTTGTAAGAGCTGAAAATATAATTGATTGATTGATTGATGTTTAACTCCACTTTCAACACTATTGTGCTATTTTGTGGCGGTCAGTTTTTATTGGTGGAGGAAGCCTGAATGCCTTCGGTAGGAATACTGACAATCCTAGTCAATTAAGATTGGAGTCGAGTGCACCTGCCCCGTCTAAAAATATGAGCAGTTGTTTATCGTTATATTTAAAGATACTGATCTTAATCATAATTGTGTCAACAATTCTGAAGCTTGACATGAAATAACATTATTATTAACGATACCAATTTTACTGCACCAGATGTGAATTCCGACAATATTAACATTAACGGTACACCAGAGTGGACAATGAATGTTTCATAAGTGATGTTCGAGGCCCAAAATATTAAAAAAAAACCAAACAAACAAACATATACATACGTTGAAGAGCTGATCAAACCAAAAAAATACATAAATATGCCGGACAAGAAATCAAATTTTTCCTGAGGGAAATATATTCTGGATTTAAAATGGTTCCAAATTTTATAACAGCAAATTCAAATGAAACAATATCAATATTTTC